TCACTCAGGGATTTTATCCCTTCTCACTGAACCAAACTCACTGCTATCACTAGATGCCCACTCATAGTGACCTGGAACTTCCCCTTTCCCCGTGTATCTTTCACTAGACTCTTGTTCTGTTATTAAGTCATCTGTTATTGCAATATAAATTGCTACCCTTCACTCCAACTTCTGATGAAATCGAACTGGGTGGGGCCAATAATTCAAATTTCTAACAAGTTCTGAGATAATGCTTATATTGGTAATGGTGGGGAGTATTTGATGTCTCTGTGTTAGTTACAGGGAGTTCTGTTATCTGGTTAATTTTGGACTGCTAACTGCAAAGTCAGTGATTCAAACCCACTAATGGTTCTTTGAGAGAAATGCGAGGCTGTCTGCTCCCCAAAAGATTACCGTCTCAGAAACTCTAGGGAGGGCCACTATGAGTTGGGATCATCTTGATGGCCGTGGGGAGCTGGATGCTACCTCCTCAGGTTAAGCATGGTTCATAGTCCAACCCTCAACTCCACATCTGGCCCTTACAAGTTTTGAGCTGCCAAAGCATACATGATTGCACAGGAAAAGGGAAGTAATTCACCTGAATGGTGAGCTTTCTCCCCTCTCGGGTAATCTTCAAACGATGTATCCTTCTGTTGGCAAAGTTGTCTACATCAATGGTAAAGACATGGCTTTCTTCCTTGCTCAATTGGTAGCGAACTTGTAAGCTTCCTTGAAGGAAAATATTAGAAATTAGAATTTAAATATGACCTATAGCATGAAAAGTATGATCATATTGCCATTTAATTCATCTTACTGTTTTCCAGAGAGCATTTATTCAAATTAGTGTATCATTCAAAAATTTAAAGGATATTGTACATGGGGTTAGGGTACTCTCAGTATCTATATAATTTTGCTTAGGTACAAAATTAAAGAATGTGCGTGCATACCGGCATGAAGCAGGGAACCACTAGAGAGGTCTGAGGGGTTGGCCCCAATTCCAACCACGTGGACAGCCGCCCCTACCCCCAGAAGAATTTACTTGAGGACAGCACTGAAGCTACAGCTCATGAGAGAGACATGTCTGATTAGAGCACAAAGGAGCAAATGAAGGGGGCGGAAGAGAGAGTAGAGCACATCCTGGCCCACCAAGCCTTGAGGACAATATCCCTGCTCAGAGCAGCCCATGTATAGAGAGGACCATAAGGCCAGCCCCACTATAAGAAACAACATCCTTCACAGACCCATAGCCCTACAGGGGCCAGCACTGGAGACACAGTGTGGGAATTGCGCCCGATCTGACCCCACCACACCAAGGCAAAACACTAAGGATGTGCAACAGAACAGCAAGGGAAG